ATAGCATCGTCAGTTCTCCTCCAGCAACATTTGTCGACTTCCTGTCATGTTTCACTGCAAGAACCTAAATAACAAAGTTCAGAACAGGGACAAGAGGCAGGAAGGAAAGGTGTCACTTTATATCTTTGCCACATCTATTCCGAGACTTTCTTTGGGTGTCAAGTCGTAAAGGCCTCATGTTCACCTCAGAGCAATATCCTTTTCCAGCGATGATATACAATGAGTGTTGCGCAATTTTCTCCCTTTGCCCAGTTGCCATAAAAAAATCAAGGACACAATCAATGCTGTTTGCCCCGTTACATTTTATCAGCTGTTATGCAAATTTATTTTCGAGTCATCAATCTACAAAATTAAACTCTTTGCTCAATAAATGTGTGGCCCTGGTCGGGTGCAGAAGAAGACGGAACTGTTGAAGAATGAATCAAAAACAGTGAAAAGCTTCAAGCCTCTGGGTGCAGGAAGTTGTGCTTTATACATGGTATACTACTAATTGGACAAATGTAATCGGACCGATAAGTTACCGGTAAAAACATTCTGTTTCACCTTTTGCAACACAGCCATCTAGTGTTGGCAAAAGCAATTTATTTATGTACTTATTGATTTGTTTAATTTTAAACAACAATATAGACGTAGCATTACTCATCACAAGTCGGAACAGGTTATCAGGGACCCACTGCATACTTTTATTTAGTTCCAGCAAAGTTTACACATTCTAAAAATGGGAAAAAGACAAGTTTGGTCTGTCATTTTCAGTCATGGTAAAGTGAATGTAAAGTTCTGGGCTTGTAAAGGGGATGTTCACTAGTAATTACAAAGTTTGCAGTCATGAATCATAAAGTAGCCACATCCTTCCACCATGTTTGGTGGTGATCAGTATAGTTTCTTTTGCGTGTCCTGCTAACAAACAAACAGACAAACAAGAGGGTAAACTAATATTTAGTTCTACGTAAGGACATTTTAGCAGTGAAGTTACACAGCCCTGAAAACATCTGTCTACAGATACAAACTACATGTAGAGGTCATTGTTCCAAGTATGTGGACCCTGCTTTTACACCTGAATGTGATTGGACAATGACAAACCAATCACAGAGTAAACCTTAAAGTCAACCACTTTATTGAGGTTTACTTGAGACCACACAAAACAGACTTTAAAAACTTATATCAGGAGGGTCGTCGTGGCTTGTTGATTCAAACTAAACACAAACAATTCTGAAAGTGGCTAATTCCAAACTTTGACTGGTATCAGATCCACACTTCTGCTGTTTAAATCAGTTTTCACATTATTTTCAATTGAATTAAAGTTTTGTCCTGTCAGTTAGACAGAGGAAGATATTTGAATATATCATGATTTACCGTCAAAGTTGTGACGTTCACTTTTCACGTATTGACATTTAGAATATTCAACAATGGATTCATTATTTGAAATGAAATTTGAAATGAAATATAACACAGAGATAGATAGAGAGTTAAATTAAACAGCAGAGGTGTGTGGCTGTCATAAATCCTTTTTTAAATGAGGATGGTGCAAACAGAGTTCTGTGCATTTAGGGACTTTGATTTATTTCATCAGCAAAGATGCTGTAAATAAATCTTGTGAGGAGCATGAATATCTGCAGCAGTAGTAGGAGACACAATAAAGATGTGGGGATGAATGAGAAAAGACAAAAGGGAGAGGGAAGGGCATAAAAGCATTAAAGAGGAAAGACCATTATTATCTTTTCATTTGGACTTGCATGCAGTTGGAGCAATCATCATTTATATCTTGGAGCATCAGCCTCCACTGTGCAACACACACACACACAGGCTGATCAGGCCAATGCATCGTCATATTGTGTATTCACTGTAGTGGGTCTGGTCTGATGATACCCCTACTGATAGCAGGATGGTAGCCCAATATATCACTCAGTGTGTGTGTGTGCCTCAATGATAAGATTACCTCTCACTGCACTTTGTGTAAGTGGTACATTGCAGATACTGGACACACGCACACGCGCGCGCACACACACGCGCACACACACAGTTCTCACTCACACGCCTGCAAGTAAAACACAGATGGCTTTTCACACATTTCCACAGAAGCTGGATGTAAACAGTGGGGAGGATATGGGAAACAGTGGCTGGATGCACAGAATGACAATAAGGGAGTTGGGTTGGGTAAAGAATGATGAATAAGGCTCTGGGTAAGACATTATTCTCCATTTGTCCTGTTAGTCACTGTCACATTTTTTTCTGTATTTTATATCTAGATGTGGGACACGGGAGGATCCATTCATTTCTTGAGTCAAGTTTTTTCTTATTTTTCAGCAATTTTAAGTTTATTTGTATCTTTAGGCAGCAGGAGCCACTGTGCCTTTGAAACAACTAATCCCTGGTCTGAAGTTGTGTATTCTGTATTTCACTGTAACGTGTAAGTGTACACTCTGGTTGTTGCACACACACACACACAGAGATGGTCAGTGCGAGTGTGAAGTCAAACAGTTTCCTCTGCAGAGAAGTGTTCTCTTTTATTACCTTGCAAAGCAGCTATAGTGAGTAACACACAAGAAAACATTCCACCTTGAGAATGACTGAAAACCTGCCTGTGTCCTTTAAAGCAACGTGATGGAATAAATTGTTGTTGGCTACTTTGGGGCTCCCCTGACAGGTGGAAGGCATCACACTGTCGCAAATACAAGTTAGGTCCAGAACGAATGGCACTCCATGCACATCGGTACACGTTGTTTACAAGCTGACGATAAAGAAACTGGTTTCTGGTATGATCATTTGTATCACCTCAAATAAAAGTAGGTCTATGAACATAACTAAATACCAGGACAGTCTGAAGCCATCTGGTTCAACATTAACTATAAAAACCTTTAAACGGGTACAGGAAGTGTTGCAATATCTACTCTGCTGTGAACCACACACAGAGTAGATAGGCGAGACCCAGACTCTCTAGAAGAGTAGTGCAGCCCACATGCAAGAGACTTTAAATTGATAACATGGGCGCCATAATGAATAGCAAGTATTTGGTGACACACACACCCCACTCATGCATCCAGCTGTCGTTGTATTTTAATCGATTGGAACAGGGGATTGCTCCATCCACTCGACTCATCCCCCTAGTATTGCAGTACCTTCTGGGATGGTGCATCAATTCAGTAGATGGCGGTAATGCACACTGACATTGGTTGCCACCCGCCAATAAACCAATCAAAGAAGAAGACACTTCTTCTGCGAAGTGGTGCAATAGGTTTGTTGAAAACTTCAACACTGCAAAAGTATCAGAGCAGCTAACAAATATGAGTAAAACTGAACAGAATCACTCTGCTCTCCATTTCCATCAGCTCTCTGTCTCCACTGGGTAGTTTTCTAATTCTGAGACCAGTTTTAAAAAGGTTGATAGACTGTTTAGTTTGTTGCTCAGCGTAAAATGACTGCAAAAAAGATATGTCTGACAAGATGAGGCTCAAGGCCACTGGTTCTTGACAGATTAATCTTGACTAAAAAGGAGAGGTCCTACTGAAAATCAACTATTAAACTACAAGAGGTTGGTTTAACAGTTCGCTCTGATTGGCCAGTTGGCCCACTCTGTTGTGATTGGTAAAACTCTGGATGTAGAAAATATCAGCCTGCACTCACTTTACCTGGGGGGGTTTGAAAGTTATGGCTGGACTACTTACAAGACGTTTCAAAAACTTCTAGAACGCACTAGAGGAAAAATAGAAAACATGATATGTGTCCTTAAATGCTATTGTGCAAATTGTGATTGAGCTTTGATTTAGAGCAGTATCCACTTATAACTCCGACTTTCTGTCTGCAGACAGATCCTTCTTCTCTTCCAATTAAAGTTTGAATGCTTTATATTTGTCATAGGCAACAACACATGGTGCCAAAGTTGCTTCAATCACTCTTCAGACCCCAGTCTGCTCGGTTTGATGCAGTCAAGACATTTTCTTATATCACTACAAAACATAATTAACAGTTTGGCCTCCACTTGCACATCACCAGCTGTAAACTATATAAACTATATAAACTATTTGCTTTAGATACTGCCGTCAGATCCTTATATAATATTTCAGACAAGTATCGGTGAAAAGAAAGTAGAGGTTAAATATCATAGTCAAAGCATGACAAAACACCGAACTTTTAAAAAGTGATTTGAATGTTATTATGACATGATTATTTTTGGGATAATTAGCCTACACCCCCAATGCAGGTTGTATAATAATAAGAATAAAAAAAAGAGCAAAGCAGAAGGTGTTTACCTGACACATTGAAAGTGACCCCTGAGTCAGAGGATGGTAACACAACCCACCTCCTGCCTCCTCCTTTATGCAAGAAAAGTTTGATGTTTTTTCAAAGTAACTTTGCAGGAAAGGGTCCAGTATTGTAGGTGCACAATAGAAAATACACTTGAAAAATTAGACGGCATTATTCATACATTACTGGCTTTTTTATCAGCTAAAAATTGTTTTCTTTATAAGTGGTTCTTCTTTTTTTTTTACTTATGTTGATTTAAAGAATGCAGTGCCAGACTTCAGACACCTGCATTTATTTCACATTTTTAAGTTACAGCCCTGTACTAAGAAAAACATGTCCCATTCAGAATTTGTTTTCAAAGTAATGCAATAAGTAAAATATGTAAAAAATGACCTTTGCAAATGTATTTTCAGACTTTGCTTTGACAGTTGAACTTTAGTTCAGGTGTAGCTTTTATTTCTCCTGATTATCTATGAGATATATCTTCACCTTGACTGGAGTCCTCCTGCACTGAGTTCACGTGATTGGACATGATTTTGAAAAATGCATTTCACAGCTAATAATGTGAAAAAGAGCAAAACTCAAGACAGGAGGCTAAATGAACCGCCGGCTTAGGTTATATCCACACTTCTTTGTTTTTACATGAAAACACATCAACTCTGCTTCTGATGGCCCGTTTCTGTATAAAAACTGCAAACTTCAATCTAGACGTTCAGAAACAGAGACGTTAGGAAACAACAGAGACTCACAACTCCCTCCTGATTAGTTTTTGGTCACGGCATAGCCTTCACTGATTCACCAGCCTCCTGTCACATGACTTCCTTCTGAAAGGACAGACAAAACAAAAACAGCATTAGCCTCGGCTCCCAATGTAGAAGGCAACATGGATAATCACTAACAATCGTTGCTGACCTTGATGCGTTCGCTAACAGTTGTGCAGTTAAATCCTACAGCTGTTTATATGCATAGGAGATTAGCTGTTATTCAAGCCATTCCTGTTTATACCAGCAGCCAGTGTAGCTGAGCAGTCACCTGATATGCTTTTTCACATGTGCTGGTATGGACCAGGATTAAAATTGATATGGAGCCAAAACGCTTGTGTGGACAGAGATCATTGGAGTAAAATGTAGTTTTGATGCAGCCTTAGGATTGTACAAATATGAGTTTACAAAAAATGATGTTACATTGAAGGTTCCACAGTGATATATAAGTTTTACATGTAGGAACTGTGGACAAAATGACTCTTCCCAGAGCTGCTCACCTGGGGAGCGGGGGCTCAGTAACAGAGTCACTCAGACTGAGCTGCAGAGATCCAGTGTGAAGAGGAGACACACTTCCACAGCGACAACAAGTCCTTTACATCCCGTGCGGTTTCCTCCAGACACGATGCTTTGGTTGAATTGAGGCCAAGCAGTTCAATCTTGTTTTCATCAGAGCGGAGAATCTTGTTTGTCACAGTCTGAGAGTCCTTTAGGTGCTTTTATATTTTTCACTGCAGAGAGGAGAGACATCCGTCTGGTCACTCGGCCATAAGGCCCACATCAGCAAACTGCTACGTGAATGGTTATAGAGTAGCTGGAGCATTAATGTTGTTTGTGTTCTAATATTTTGATGTATGAGCACTTAGACGGAAAAACTTTGTATATTGAATTCCAATAATTTCACACTTATACACATTATTTTTCAGATCGTGTTAGGTTAATATCTAATTGTAATTGAATGAACTAACCCCCAACATTAGAGGGCCAGTCTAATCTAGGAGGAGGGCTGGGGTGGACTGATGTGAAAAAGGTCAAACGACCACAAAACAGGTACACTACGAATAAACCACCACTGCACACAAAACGCTTTAAAACAATTCAAAACAGTTCTGCAACACTGATATTTGCTCTTTCACGGTGAGCTACAGTGACTGAGACTAGAACACGCACACAAGATGGCTGCTGCAACACCCACTTTCAACACAGCAGAAAAATCAAACAGAAAAACATGGCCTGTTTTATAGATTAGTAAAAGCACAATTCAATGAAAAAACACTGGTTGACAAAGACAATTTATAAAAAAGATATGTTTTTTTTTTTTACAAAATCTGTATGGAATGTCAAAATAAATATATCTTGCTAAACAGGAACTGGATCCTTTCCCTCAGTTAGAGACACGCAGGTGTCCAGAATCTATATTTATAAATTACCATGTTAATATTACATTAAAGGGACTATTAAAAAGTATTTCCATTATGCCTAAGCATACCTTGTAACTTGACCTGATCACTCACTCCAAGTCATTTACCAAACATGAAGAATCTAACAAAATACATTTTTAATTATTTAAAAAATCTTAAATTTGATAGAGCTAAAAGATATATTTCATTTTCTAATCGTGAAAAAAAAGGGATCTTACCAAATCAAACCCCAAACAAATGCTGGCCTCATGCTCTCTCACCCTCTCTCTCTCAGGTGTGTCTCAATGCAGGAAGAAATGTTCAGGTGAACTTCCTGCCCTGTTTTAAAGACTCCGCCCCTTTACCTGGGTCCTATAGCTGGACCACCTGTTAGCAGCGTTGCCGGATGTACAATAATTATCGTATTTGTGTGATAATTTTCCCCTCTTTTCGATATATGATCAATAATGCATGATGTACGATCATTTGAGCATTTTGTGACACTTAGTATTAGTTGGAATCTGGACTGTTAAATATGGATCAGATCTTCTCTTGTCTTGTCTGTCCAGGACATCATGAATGTTATGATGAGCTTGACCATCAGTACAATTCCTTCCTGTCTCATGTTTCAAAATGAGAACGTTGTGCCTCGGAAAGGATCATTTCTGTACTAAATCGCTTCTTGACACATCATCGTCAGTATTGAGTCCCATCCCTACTCTGGTCGCGCACAATAATTTTCCTCAAAATACTATAATTTTAAGCTTCTTGTGGGATACTTAAACATTTCCCACCTGGTGACGCTGTCTGTTACCTTTCCTTTCACATAGGGATGACAGGGTTTTATGTCTTGGTCCATTACTATGGTTCCTGCAGAAAATTCTTAAAAACCAAGAATAAACCACATAAATAGATTAAGAATCTACAATTACTACTGGGGCTATAAATGAACAAAAAGGTGGGTATATAACCAACAAAGAACAACAGAGAAAATCAACCCCCTACTGATTTATATGAAAAGATTTGTCAGTGTTTCCAAACACAGTTGAATTTATAAAATCATTTTGTCATCAACTGCTTCCATAATTTAGAAAATGATCTTCCAATCTCCAGAACAGTGCATTGTGCATTGTAAGCCGTGTAAAAAGCATTCAGATTGTCTGCAGTGTGAAAACCCTTTGTGGATGGTTTGGACTTTCAGGCCGATTGCAGGAGCTGCAGTCAGGCTTGTCAAACAATAAAGGGTAAATCAGAGAAATAATAAGAGAAGTAAAAATGAGTCAAGGCAGCACGTGTGAAGGACGAGACAAGATATTTAGTTGTTACATTGTCAGACGAGAAAAATCAAAATCAATCAATTACATTTTATTTGTATAGCACATATTCATGAATCACAATATGCCTTAAAGGGCTGAACAAGATGTGACATCCTCTGCCCTTAACCCTTCACTAGAGTGAAGACAAACTACCCCCAAAAAACTGTTAACTGGAAAGACAGGCAGAACATTAAAAACACACACATTACTATGAGAATGAAAGAAAAACACATTTCTAAGAGAATGAAAGAAAGAAGATGCCATACCAGTCATTGTCAAGTATAAGGAGCCACAGCATGTGCTGTACGCCAGGCAAAGTTCTTTAGTGTGCAATAGTACCTTGAAATAGCTTTAAAACTTTAAACCTGTGTCTTAACCTTGCAGACATTATATGAGCAGGGTTTTTTTTTCCAGGTGAATGCTGAAAAAGTTGAAAATAATAACGTGAGGTAATTGTATGCTAATGTAGGCGAAGGTGCCTGGAGGGTAAACGAGTACACAAAAGACGTGTCAGGAGGTGAAGTGCGGGAATCGGCACACATCTGCTGCAGCACTTTCCAGGCCGTGGACGTGAACACGGTGGACAAGAAAGGACAGCTGCTGGAGGTCAGAGACACGGGGCAGAGAGCATCTGTATTTGTATCCGAAGAGAACTGTGTTACGTGTGTGTGTGTGTCAGAGGGACAGATGCTGGCATAGCGGGTGCACCGTCCCCTGACAGGTGACAACTCTAACTGCTTTGAAAACCTTATGGCCAACAGAGCAGGGTCACATTGTTAGTTAAATACTTTCTGATCCTCCAGGGGAGCTCACTTTAACCTGAGTGACATGCCGCAGGGACACTGTTAAATAGGTTCTTTAGGAAGCGCTGCCAGGGCCTGCATTATGTCCATGATAAAGTGCCAACCTTTTGAGGCCTAAATTCCCTCAGGTTTGCTATGACTTCTGCTCAGAACAACTCAATCTATTCATGTGAAAATTCAGTATAGTGTGCACACTATTTTAACATTGAAGCAGCAGTTTGCTGTTGAAGAGGTTGAGGGACTCAACATCAATTTGTTAAAGAGAAGAGATGAAATAACAAGAAAACAGCTCTCAACTGTAGCTCTAATAACAAAGTCTTTATATAAATACAAGGAAAACAACCAGTCAAGTGAGGTGAGTTCTACAAAAGATCCACAAAGAAATCTATAATATCTTTCACCTCCTTTTCTCTTCTACTTCTTTTCCTTCCTCTCTGGTGGGCATCATGTCTTCACTAATTCTAGACTGAGATTAAAGGCAGGCTGGAGAGAGCTGTTTCCCCTTCAGCAGTGATGAAGCAGCCTCCGCTGTCCAAGCGCTTTTTCGTTTTGTGTGTTTGTTTCCTTTCGAAGGGATTTATGTATATGTGGTTAATATGTGTCATCAAGTCAGAGTGAATTCTTTTACTTTTTAAGCGATTCTTAATACGGGGATTTTCTTTTCCTTTCTGTCTTCGGTGACATCGTATCAGAGAGACAAATTCAAAGCATTATACGTTTTATATTCATATACGGAGACAGTGCCATGCATGAGGCAAGAAAGAAAATGTCAAAATGAACAACCAATAGAAAGTCAAATTTTGACAGCGTGGGGTCCAAATTCATCTGTCAGGTGGTCCAGTGTTAAGCATTTGTTCTTAGTTTATTTTTTTCAATAGTCACGGGGGAAGTTTCTGGGTCTGATAGCTGATTGAGTGTTTGGTCCAGATCATCTCATGTTTTGCTATTTTGGTCTCTGCACTCCCAGTTAAATACATAGCACTGAATAAAACATAATAAAGTGATTACTGCTACTCAGGTAGGATGTCCTTGTTATGTGATGCATCACTGGGTTGAGCCAAGTGAAATTCTAAGGTTGTAGCTGTATCAATAACAAAAATTATTATTATTATTATTAAAACATTTAAATTAAAAAAACTATTTAATTTGATTTCCTCTCAAACTGTCAGTCATCAGTCTCTGTGCTTGAACACACCTTCAGCCAAACTGAAGGGCACAGTTGTATAACTGCTTCCATCACAGCCTAGGTTTGCTGGGAAATAAATGGATAAGTGCCCAAACTTTGAAAGTCAATTTCTTTTTTCACCTCGGCTGATGAACAGAGAAGAACAGGTTTATCTTCTCAGACCGGTCCATTGGGTGCCACTTTGTCTAGCACTCACTGTAAGATGATTCCCCAGCAACAAGGTAGAGGTGGCCACATTAACCATTCACACTCCGATAATGTTTGCTGTTGAAATCAGCAGGGGAGCAGCCAAACACACGCTGCAGTGCCAGAAAGGAGCCAAGCACTGTCTTGCTTCAAAATGAAGTCAGACCACATTATTTTAAGTCTTGTCCCAGGCTCCATTTCTCCTATAAATTAAATTTCTCATTAGTATATCACTACTCCTCTGACAGAGCTGCAGACGCCTTAACAAACAGGAACTTACTGAAAAATATCTCAGCTTAGGGAATAGTTTGATATTTTCGGAATCGTGTTGGCGAGAGTTAGATGACAAGATTGATAACACTTTTATGTGTGCCTGTTAAATATGAAGCCATAGCCAGCAGCGGGTTATCTTAGCTTGGCATGAAACCTGGAACAGCTAGTGTGGCTCTATCCAAACCTAATATGCTTGCCAGCACCACCAAAACTTTTTATTAAAACGTTTTAATTATTGTTAATTTCATATGTGCAAAAGTGTGAAAATAATACAAGTTGTGGGTTTTATATAGTGTTATGTGCTGGGCTACTTCATAGTGGTAGTGAGGTGTTTTGTCTCTTTCCTTATTTTAATTTGGACAGAGCCAGGCAAGCTGTTTTTGTTCATTTCCAGTCTCTATGCTAAACTTAGCTTGTGTAAAAATGAAACAGCTTTAGGATGAAGATGAAGAAAAGTCAATGTGAATATTTCTCAAATTTTTATTCCGAAAAAATTGAAATAAACTGGATACATGGATACTAAAAATTAGTATCCCACAAATATTCCCAATTCATCAATATTCAAGGCTACTGAGATCAACACAAGGGATTGATAATCCAGTCAAAGCTATAGCAAGAGCAGGTGTCACTTTGAAAATATGCAACCGACACATCCCACCTCTTTACAAAACACATGAATGTGCACCGACAACAGGCAGGCAGGTTGGTAATGGGATATCTTTTTTAACACAGTATAAAATACTATAATATAAAACTATAGCTTTATTGTTGTAGCTCTGATTGTTTGTTCACTTGGCATTGATAGCATCTTCCGCAACAAAGTAACTGCTGATATCTGGGAATGTAACACGTGATTACTGAGAAAATACTGCTGGTCCAACAAGCACTCGTGAGGTTGAAAACCAAATTCTTCCAATGTTAAAATAAATTTAAAGAGAAAAGGACGCTAGGTGCCGAATATAAACTCTATTGTTTAAAAACAGGCTCATACAACCTGAGGGTTTTCTGAAGAGCAGACAGAACCGCCAGCGTTTACAATAAATGAGTAAAATCCACACAAGCCCACAATTCAGTGGCCTTTCTGTGTGTGTGAGCTTAAGGTCTGATGTGATGCAGACGTCAGTAGTGTGTGTGTGTGTGTGTGTGTGTGTAGTCATGAGAGCTAATCTGTGAGCAGGTGTGGTTTTTAAACACACTCACACACACACACAGTAAATCAGTCAAGTCTTGCTGTCTGTGGATGATGCATGACGCCACTCGAGGCACATCACTCACACTGTCATGACAACCATTTGAACCAAACACTTCTACTTTAAACAGTTTTTTCCCCGTGCAGATGAAATGAGCAGCCTCTGAACTTATTGTCCAAGAAAGACAAATGCATGTCAACATCCAGCCCTACATTATCAATATTCAGTAAATATCTAAAAGGAAGGATAGTTAGCATTAAAAAACTGCAAAAGAGAAAATAAGATTTCAATTATGAGTTTTCACTCACAGAAAACAACAGCACACACACAGACGCAAGATCACAGACACAAA